CGTGGCGCATCGCTGGAACTGCAAATAGTAAGGAGTACCTTGAAGGTCGAGATAACAGCAGGCTACGTAAAAGTCAGGTGTATCTGTGTGGTTGGTAGGTAGTGGTCATGGCTGATCAAGGATGCATGACATGGGGTGGGAACATTCACTGGAAGCTTGTGGAATGGGAAGAGAGGCGATAAGAGGGTAAACAGTGGTAAACGAAACAATATAGGTGGGGATGAACGTGAAAGCAGTGTGTATAGAAGCAGAAAGGAGAGAGTAGCCAGCAGCGATAGGTGAGTGCAGCGTTGATGACTATATACAATTGCGGGTGCGATGAGACAAGAGATGAGGTGCTCGATGGGGCAGAGAGATAGTGGGAAGAAGCACTGTGGCAGGATGCGGAAGATAAAAAAAGGAACAGCAAAAAAACCCAAAAATACGACAGATACGCGTTGGCAGGAGGCGGTCATTGGAAAGCAGGGTACGGTACGGTACCATACGCCCGCCTTCCGCTTGGGACGTGTATATCTAGCCCAAGGCATCCTTTTCCCCCGCCAACAACGACAACGGATATCGGAGTCAATGATTCATTGCAACCCGAGCTCTCCCCTCATCAATCGCCAATCATCCACTTGGCTAGCCATACAGCCTGCCTCTCTTTCTCTGTCGGATTTGGCCAGAGAATAGTGATCAAAAATCAAAGAGGGGTGAGGAGGCCGAGAATGGGCCCTCGGCTGGGCAGAACAGCTTCCAAATTTAACAATTTCAGGCTTTTGCCTCTTTGCTCTTTCCTTATTGCCAAAATCTTCTGTTGGTTGTTGTGTGTGGCTGCCGCTAAAGAAAATCAACGAAGCGAGGAATGGGGACGGTCCTGTAAAAACAGCGGCCCAAGCCTCGAGCGGAGACATCAAGAACCTAGAGAAATAGATCTGGCGCGGGGCAAAACATGGCTTCATATGGATAAGGGGATCAGGACTATCGGGATGAACGAAGAAACACGGCGAGAAGACAAGGGAAATAAATGAATAAATATGAAAATGGGGATTCGACTGACAATGAAGATGATGTGGGATATCAGGTATTTATTAAACTAAAAACAAAATAAGAAATAAGAAATATATGTATAGGATACCAATGTATGCGTTTTTTCCAATTAAAAAAAAAAAAAATGAACATCACTCACTGACTCGATTAAATCTAGATAGCTAGCCGCGGATGCAGGGAGCTAAAATATGCAGAGATCAAAAACTGCGGGGTTTTGCGTTACTTCGCCAGGGTGTACGGTATCACATAAAACAGTGCAGCTGGCTCTGTTGTTTGCTCCGTGCGATGCGATATGATGCGATATGATGCGAAAACGGCGGCAATATCACAGACAAAGGAACTCAACGTTCGCCTTTGCACTATAGAGCAGGTTGAGAGCGTGAGGATAAAAAAAAAGAACACCCAGCTACCCCGTGCCTATTTTGACGCCACAGAAGAAAGCGAGCTGTATCGCGCAATCGCTAATAGTAATGACAAAAACGAGCTGTTGTTGGTGGTTGGAAGAGCCGTTTTGAGGTTCCTGTATGTTTGTGCGTACTGAAGCAGGATCCGTCGGATGGCTCGATGGCTAGGATGCAGTAGAGAAGAACGTCCAAAGAGAAAACCATCTAACTGCTGTGCAGAGCAAATAATGTTAATAATAGTCAGGAAAAAAAGAACCAGATAAGAGGGCCCAGGTGGGTAGTATATAGGTATTTGCCGAATCAGAGAAACGGGATTTTGCAGTCAGTGAAAAGCTGTCTTTGTCCTCTCTCCTGCGCGCAAGCGTAGCGATAAGGGCCGGCGAGATCGAATATCATGCACGGATTCCGGCAGGGAACGAGATGGAAAAGCAAATGAAATGCAGCAGCGAACGAGGGGAAGGAGCTGGGAGCTGGGCGAGGGGGGTTGGATGGTTAAAACAAATTTATGACCCAGCGGGGCGCGCCAGTGTGCTGCAGCTCTCATTTGCGAATGACGGCGCTGGTCATGCAGGGCGTCGATCATTTAATATCCATATCCACGAGGTTTTACATTTCTGGAACTAGCTTGCTCTTGTATTTTTATTTTTATTTTATTTTTTCCCAAACACCATACAAATTTGTATAGGTACATTGGTTTGGGGGGCAAAGTGGTCTTGTAGGGCTAGTTCGGCACGTTGAAGCGTGTGTGCTAGTTTATATAGATTCACAGAGCAAGAGATTACGCTTCCCGACACGCGCACCCACACCCACACCGTGAGGAACTAACCCAGGTTATAATAGCCCAGGAGGGAGAAAATCAGGTTTTGCTGCTTGCCTACCTAACGGCGTCCTTCTACTGTAATCATGTTGGGGCTACGCTGAAGGAAGAGGGAGGCAGAATGGGGGGATGGGGTTCCCAGAGAACAACAAGAACAACCACAATAACAATAACAAATATTACTATTATTAAAAGGATGGTGAGCATCCAGAATATAAAGTAGGGATAACCAGCGGAGGTGCTAAAGAGAAAGCAAAACAAGAATCAAGCCCCATGGACGAGACAAGACAGGCAGACAGGCAGGCATGCAGGCAGCAAAGGAAAAAAAAAAAGCGAGGCATCACCACCACCACCACTATCGTCGTCGTCGTCAGCTGTCGCGTCTTTGCCTGGGCAATGTGACTCCTTCCGTATCTCTTGATATAGATGAGGGAGGGGTGTAGGGAGTAACTTTGGAGGCAAAGTATAATCAGAAGATAGTATTTTTCTGGAAATAGTTCAACCCCTCCCTTTCATTCACACAACTGGGTTGGGTGCGGAGACGAAAAGGCAAATGCGACTCCGGAAGAGAAATGGCATTTTGGCTTGTGAAAGTGAAAATAAAAGGGGGTGGGGGAAAGGGGGAGGAAGCTATGTGAGTGAGTGAGTAAGAGAGAGAGAGAGAGAGTGTGTGTGTGTCTCTCCTTTGACGCCAGAATCCAACGATGAACTTGCAATACTGCCCCAACCCATGGGCAAGGTTTAGTATTTGGAGAAAACATGCAGTTTTCCCGCAAGAATGCTCTACAGTGTCGTTGCCTTCTAATTTGGTGTTGAATATTTTGAAGAACAGGGCTACTAGTTATTTGAGGGTTATGACTAGAATCACTGATTAGCTCGCTGACGATAACAAACGTCATTTAACTATGCGAATATAGTCTCACTGCCCCCATTGACGAATGTCAACTGAGACACTGGAGTAGCCTTGAGCCAATCGATGAGTTCACAAAAAGGAAAACGAGAGAACCCTGCCACATTGTCCCAGACATGAGTCCTACGACATCCGAACTGACACACAGGGCGTTGATTGTTGGTAAACGGCCCCGTTATACCAGTCCCTTACATCAAAAACCCAGACAAGAAAAGAATAGGAGACTTTTTGCGCCCATCCAAATTGCATCCAAAAATTACGCGACTTAGGAATCTTGAATTAACTCTGCGCCATGATTGGAGTATCGGTATGCCGTTTGTGCCGCTGATTGTGTAGGTCTTCCCTGATATTTGAAAGAATGGGGGACAGTGTGCGACATGAAAAACAAGGATCTTCTCCTTGGACTGCAGCCACACCCCGAGTCTTACGAAGTATTTATTATGATAACGAGCGTGTGCAACTTGCCCAGAAGAAAAAGAGGGCTAGAGGCACCCACGCCAGAGGAAGATGAGATGACGATACTTAAAAATCTGAACCCAGAAGTAAGTATCGATTCTTTGGAATTAGCAATGAGAAAACCATGATTTCGACGTCCTTTAAAGTTGCCGGACGGGAACCCCGTATGCCTCCCGCAAACGTCCAAGCTTGCCGGCCAACAAAAGCAAGCTCTGGAAATATTCCGGGGTAATCCTGGCCCCTTTCAAATTTATAATTTTTTGAATAAATAACAAAAGCAATGAATTGATCTCCTTTCTTCGTATGACGAAAGCTCCGTTCGACAGAAAGGGTTTTTCAGATTCTTTCTCCGTGGCTGATGCCCAAGATCGCCAGAATGAGGGGTTGGTCAATTATGTGAATTCTTGGTCTCCCTCGAAAGTCCCAACTAGATATCCGGATACGAGCCGCCTCCACACCTCGTTCCGAAGGTACCGCTTCTGGGAAAAGCTATTTTTTGTTGCGGGGCCAGCTGACAAAATACCATTCCCTCAAGACGCGAATGTGAATGCCCAAGAAACCTTGGGTGTGGAGGGTACTCTATACACGCTAGATCCATGATCGCCTACTTTGCGTGAAGGTAACTACGCCGTAAGTTTCTAGAATGCGAGCCAGTCCAGGAATTTATCAGCTCATGAAATGCGACCCTCACCTCCCAAACTATGCAGTTCCATGTCGCCGATCACTTTAAAGCATACGTTGGGACAGGCTATGCAGAATATCAAATATAAGACGTCATCAAAGGATGCAGTTGTGTAGTTCTCCTTCCCTCGTCGCTCCAATTTCCTACATAGTTATATTTAATGCCTACGAATAAAACTTCTTCCAACGACATGTTTTGTATTGTACAGTACTAGTACGCTTATCGTGCTCTCCTTCGCACACTCGGCATGGTAGAAGGAGATGATCAGAATCCAGTCGCCCGTTTAGTCACCGAAGCATCTTTCTTTACTTTTCACTCTCCGCATATTCATCACTGACACACACCGTGCCCACTCCATGATCCACACAGACAATTAGCGAAAAGCAGGAAAATCTCCTCTGAATGGGTACCGAGTTGCTCTATAGGCGAGGAACCAGCAACTTTCGATCAACACGGGACGAATCAGAAGCTCTGCACAAGCTTTTTGCCTCCAAGGAGCGGAGGGAAATACTTCTCGGGATGAGATCAAATCAAGGGGGGCTAAATAAATATCTCCACCCAATCTCTGGACTTTGGTAAACGAGGAGCGGCCTGTCGTTGATTAGCAGCTGTTGGCTACGGGGTAGCGGGGCTGCCCGTGGTTTCTCCACCACGATAGGTGTGTTAGGCTTGTTCGCTAGCTTCCCGATGCCTGCTTGGAGTTGGCGGTTTTAGCGGGGTGTGGCTGGGACCCCGAGGCTCAGGGTGACTCAGCCACTAGCGTGCTCACCTCAACCGAGCCGTCCGTCCAACCTCATCCTCACTCCTCACTCCTGCTCTCCCTGTAGCAGGCCTTCAGGCGACGAGGACAGACTCTGTACTTCAGACATCAACAGAGCGAGGACTCTGTGTCAATCCTATCTGGTTCCCTTTGCATTTCTTCTCCACAGCATCCACTAGGGAAGCTTCCTTTGCGCAGACTCCACAGGTCTGTGCATCCCATCCAAGTTTATCATACACCACCTCTGTCAAAACCAAAACTAAAGCTTGAGTGATCATCTGATACAAATCTTTAGTTGGTGCTGACCCGAAGCTAACTGATGAGGGTTTAGCTATTCATCTTTTCGGACTGGACCCTTCAGATTTATCACTGCCACCTTTATCGCGAACCCTCCATCTCAAGCTACTGATCACCACCATCAACACGAACTACGCACCACCACCACCACCACCACCACACCACTACGTCGGCTCCCTGTGCCATCGACTTTCCTTGCTAGTACACACTCTTACTTACTCCAGCAGACACGGGGGTAAGTCCGCTCACATTACATCATACCCGTCGTCTTACGAAGGGGGAGGATGACTTGGTGTGCCTCTGGGATCTCGACTGCTCCCCTCCTCCAAGTATCCTGTACTTCTAAAATAGCTTGCCCAATGAATATTATAATAACCATCTGACCTACAGCTACCCCACACCACACATGCTTTTTAGCTGCATATCATCTGCGAGAGATACTTACATACATATCTTGGCTTTTGTGGGAAGTTGAACCCTTCAGTTACGTCCTGTATCTGTATGCAGATCTCTCGGGAGGAAGCGAGCCGATATCTACCCGTTTTGTTGAATGACCTCGGAGATTTCATTTTGAACGGGACTGGAAATAAGAAGTTTAAGCAAGGAGACACAAAATAGGAAATACACTTTGACCACCACAGAAACGGCTATCGCGGAAGATGGCGTCCGCGTCGTTTCGTGACTCCATGAATTCCTTGGGATGGACACTGGGCCAACCGGATACTGCATCTACCAATCGAACAACCTCAAAGTCGGTATTCGCGAGCATTCAGTCACTTAACCCTTTTGCGGATCGGGGTTATGTTCAGCTTCCTGCACAAGATGATTCAGCTGCATCTCTACCGGCTCCAACAAGGCGAGAGGAGGACGAAACATGGTTTTCATGTGAGTCTCATGACACACCTTTTTGACGCAGATGTCTTGTCTATTTCGTGTCATCTCTATGGCCAACGTACAAGTGACACACCTCAGTTCCTGCGTCCGCACAGACTCACATGCATGCCCTGCAGTGGAGTTTCTTTCTCCGCAGCAAGGCAAAGTCAATGCACCATTCTCAGCTTCCTATTTGTGGTGTTCGAAACGTGCTAACTTTTCAACTATTTGCTCTGCAGTAACTCGATGGGACCGCATGCTGATATTTGCTGGGTGTATCGTTGGGGCTCTTGTGTGTTTCAGTATTTGCATAGGGCTCATATTATTCCCTCTGATGTTCAGGGCAAGGAAATTTGCAGTTTTGTGAGTTTAATTTTCTTTCACGTAACGCCCACCCCCTTTCCCCCCAAGACTGCCTTGAAACCTTTTAGCAATGGCGTATGCAGCCGAATTCTACTCACCCACACACAATAATGGGTTCACGAAAAGGCTGCACTGCCTCAAGCCTTGAATAACTGTTTGCGATTGTCAACGTCGGCTTGTTGTTAAACCATGCCCCACGCTTGTCATCCCTGACATACCGCTATGTCATCTACTATTCTATTTGTGCCGGCCTCCGAGATCCTCCGGTTGTCTTTGGCCGCGTCTAGAGCTCATTGCACATCCGCCTTCACCTCTGCATATCTCATATTTACGTGATGTCATAGCTAATATATTCTTTTTCCTTAAGGTGGTCTGTGGGATCCGTTCTCTTTCTCATCTCCTGGGCTGTTCTCATGGGGCCCATGGCATATGTCAAGCATTTAGCATCGGGGCCTCGCCTTCCATTCACTGGGGCCTATTTCACGTCAATTGGCCTAACTCTCTACTTTGCTATCGGAGTAAGTCCACTTTTTCAGTCTGCATATTCCGGATTTTCCTTCATCTTTCCCCATTAGGGAAGTGTTCACTGTGTTTTCATTTTACAAATGTTATCCATTTCTCCTCTCTACCAGACATTCACCCCCATTGTCCTAATATCCTTGCCCCAGTATACTCCGTCCTGCATAACAAAATGTTTCCATCCATCCAACTATTACACTCCGGACTCCACTTACATCCCGCAATTCCTCGTGGATTTCATGAAAAAAGGGGTCCCGTGGAGAGAATGAAAGCATCGCCACCAGATTCCATATATTCCAACCTTGAGCTCCCCTCCAATTAACCTACACCATCTTCAATTTTCCCCATGTTCCCAATGTTGCAAACTTATACACCTCTTGAAGACATGGGTCGTTTCCGCTTTATCCGCACAAGCCTAAAAAATCCATATCCACGACAAGCCATCTGACCGAGACTAACTTTTACCGCGCAGCTCCACTCCACGATTCTCACCCTGATCTCCTGCATTTTCCAACTCATTGCTCTCGTTTGGTATCTCGTGAGCTATTTCCCTATGGGCAGCACTGGTTTGAGGCTCGCAGCGCGTGTTGGGGGAGGTAGGGTTGCGGCTTGGGTGAGTGATTGAGTAGATCGAGGCAGATGGAGAGAGCGGGGGGGAAAGCAGCGTAACGAATGCATATGTAATACCACCTTTAATTGATTTATGTTTTGTCTCTCAACGAACCTGTGTTTGGAACGGCTACGTTTACTCATACATTCTCCTATTTCCATATAGAGCTGCAGTTATTGTTGTTCTGGCATCACTTTCATCGTGCTTTCATTTCCTTTCCTTATGTTCCCTGTTTTCTGCTAGTGATTGGAAATGGAATAAAATTTTAGGCCGCAATTTTTGAATTGCTTTTTTATTCCTATTTATTTATTTACTTTTAAATTTGCTTGGTTATTTTGCTTGGTTGGTTCTCTTGATTTCTTTCGCTCCGAAATACCTCATATTTCCCTTCTGTCTCTCTCAGCGATTCCATAGATGCATACCCACCCATTTACAACCGAGGATACAGAAATATGAGAAAATCAATTTAGATTCCACTCCTTTTCACAACCACTCCGACTCCATACATATATATTCATATCAATCATCTAAGAAAACGGTCAAAAAGAGATAAATATCAATTGTAGACACATTGAAAAAAATATTTGTAACAACAAAAATCAAAATCAATCACTCTTCTTGTCTGCTAATGTTTCGCCTACAAAGCACAAAAGAGAGAGGTCTGAATCGCATAGAATGAATATATGACTCTACTTTTCTCGATGTAATTTTGTTTAACTTCAATATCGATAAGCCAGAGCAAAACCCCCCCCCCCCCCCCCCACCCCCCTCCCACTTCCCCTCCCCTCCAACTCCCGAACCTTTTCTTTTCATTTCATCAGCACCTCCCCGACACTCCCCTCCAACATCGTGACAGAAGGCACCTCAGCCTCCCAAATACCCGTCTCAGCCCCAGCTCCAACCTCCAGCCAACGTTTCAACAAATCATTGCTCTCCTTCGGTTTCACTTCTGGCGCCGCCGTGCCGACTGTGATATGAGGGATATCGTTCGCGCAAGGCCACGAATCTCCCTCGCGCGGGCAGATGCGCGCGACAAAGGCCATAATTCTATCATCCCAGACGAGGCGCTCGATGCGGACACGGGTGGTGCCTAGGATTGGTGTTTCGAGAACGTAGCCGTTTGCAGGATTCGGTTGCTCTTTTTGGATGGCGGCTTTGTAGAGGTTTGTGTAATAGGCCCAGATGTCTGGGTGGGTTTTTTGGGAGGCACGGTGGATTAGGGTTACGTGGAAGGAAGTCTGGATGCGACGGGAGTTTTTGAGGTGGTTGTATAGTTTCCTCCTTTCGGGTGGGATGGTGGAGGATGAGAAGAGCGAGGCGAGTAGGGTGGTTATTTGGTTTGAGTTCAAGGATATGTTGAAGTATTCTATGCGTTTGGCGAGCTGGTCGGGAGATTCTCGTGGTGCTGTTTGTTTTGAGAACTTATTGCTATTCGAGAATTTGAGGTCGTGCTTTGTGTCGACTTTGTAGTTTTTCATGGCGTCATCGATGGCGTTGTCTAGGTCTGATGAAGTTGGCATTTTGCCCTCCATGAGTTGTGGGAATGAGGAGTGTAGGGCTGAGACGACCTTCTCCAGATTTTCACGAGAAGAGGTGGTCACATCCAGATCGATCACTTCATCAAAACCATCGTCAGGGTAAAGGTTTGTGTCCACAGCCTCGAATCGACTCAAAAACCCTTCCATAATCCCAATTACGGAGTCACGGTCTTTGCTACCGGCTTGGATCGTTTGATGGTTATCCCCTCGTTCCAGAACTCTTGCCTGAGTGACTTTTCTAATATCATGGAGTAATAATTGCTTGGGTTCATGGACATAGTGGAGCGCAACAAATTTTGCATTTGGTACAACTCGTAGAACATCATCAATGATCTGGCTCCTTTCTCGCTTTTGGTGATTGTTACGATCTGCGATGACGACCCCATGGATTGCAAGAGAAGAGGTCACCTCCTGTGCAAATATTTTCGGGCGGTTCTTCGGTGCCTGAATGTTATCATTCTGGATATGGCCCCAGCCAAATAACTTAACAAGTGCGAGGGCTAGGGTGGTTTTGCCACACCCGATTGAAGCTACTGGCACTAAGACAATATCTTGTGTCACCTTAGCAAGAGGGGAAGTCCCTTCTCCCTGGGCTAATTCCATGGCAATGATATCTGAGCCCTTCATTCCTCTCTCTTTCAAGAAGCCATCTCTCATTGAGATGATGCCATGATTTTGATTGTAGAGCTTTGCAAGCTTAGGGTCCTGAGCAAATTGCCTCCTAGCATATTGTAGATATTGCTCTGTAATGGCCACATGCTTCTTGATTTTTGGCTGTCTGCCTGCAATTATTGCTTTGGTGGCTTCACGCCACTGCCTGTACATGAGGTATGGTTCTTCAAATTTGTACTTGAAAAACCAGTCTCTATATGGGCCGACACCTCCATCACTTAGTTGACACCGGATAACAAAACCTTCGGTGTCCCTGCCGTCCCACGACCCTGTCTCTGCGCACTTCTCTAAGAAGGTCTTTACTTCGGAAAGGGAATCCTTCATGAGGAACTGCGCTTTCTTAAATCCCCATTCATCGGCAAATTTGTGAACCTCAAGACTAGGTAGGGTAGCGAATTCGGGAACGTTGTAGTTCAGGCCATGAAGATAGATACCGGAGGCCTCCTCGTCGTAAGGGAGAACGTGCTCCTCAAAACGGTCGTCACAAAGCTCGCCAACAGCAGTTAAATTCGCTTTTCTCAACGCCTTAGCCAAATCCGCCATCGTCCTACCAACAGCCGCTACATGTCGCTTCGCCCAGTTCTCACCAGCAACTGCGTGACTGAGGGTGACATCAGTCCTGGCACCTGTGGAGTGTTTGCTGCATACAAGCAGCGTGCCATCCTCCAAGCCAGATATAAAAATAATGCAGCCATTCTCTTTGACGCTTAGCTCATACGGTCCCCGGGTATTGTGCTCAATGTTTCTCCATCGTGTCAAATTCACTTCATCCACGTTGAAGAACTTGTCATATCCTCGAATAGCGATTTCATATTGATTTTTCTCATTTTTGGTCGTAAACAAACCACGCGCATAGGTTGGCAAGTCATCACGCTTGTAATCCCAATCCTGGAACCTCCACGAGTCCACACTGATATCTGATCCCGAAACAGGAAAGGTGCTCTTCTTGCAGGAAAACGTCTTTTTCCCCAGCTGTTTCTTCTTACCGCTTGCAGCCTCTAAGCTATGAACAAGACGAGTAACCTCGTGGCCATCTTGTTGAACCATGATTTTGACGTATGAAATGAATATTTGAACGAGTGAGATATCGGGCTGTCCAACATGCGGGGTAGGGGAACGACGTGTCGAGTTCAAAAGCAAAGTACTATGCGGGGTCGCTACTCTAGTTGCTGGAGAAGATCTATGAAACAGTTTATTCAAAATCCGCAGGGCAGAAAAAGTAATCGAACGAGTTGTCGTTGGCTATCTATTGCTTCATAATGATCGCCAGACCGTTGTGCAAGGTACGTAGGTCTGTTGGCTGCTAGCTCAATCGGGCAAAACCCAGTTGTTTGATATTTTTTTTTTCTTTTTGTTTGTTCGGTGGACGTTGCCCCAACCCCTCGACCTCATTGTTCAAGAACGCTGCGATTTGATCTTATATTTAAAACTGCCGATAATGTCCCCTTCCCAGCCCAATATCTACTCTCTTGCAGCAGACAATTCGCCTTCCCTCCTCCCACTCCTGCGGTCAAACCCTGCTTTAGCTTCGTCCCAGGACGACTCTGGCTATTCCCTGCTACATGCTGCTGCTTCGTACGGCCATGTCGATCTTCTCCGCGCCCTCGTTCAAGAGCTCCAGGTAAACGTAAACTTGGTAGACGAGGACGGAGAAACTTGCCTTTTTGTCACGGAATCTGTCGACGTGGCCCGCTGTTTGATCGAGGAACTGGGCGTAGATCGGGGTCACAAGAATCACCTTGGTTTGAAGGCGGAGGAGTCTATTGCCAGTGATGGGGAATTTCCGTATTTGATTGAATACCTACAAGGCAGCCAGGCTGGGGATTGCCCGGGCCAACTCCTACAATCATCTATATCGATTCCGCCAAATGTGACTGTCAATGTTGGAAACATGCCTGATCCTGCTGCCGACGGGGATGGGGCCCCTGACCCGGAATTCAAGAGGAGAATTGAGGAATTTGCTGCAAGGGAAAACTTCCATACTGAAGAGGGGCAGCGGGAACTCCGTCAATTAGTTACGGACGCACTTAAGGATGTGAATGCAGACACACAGGAGAGGGGCGTTAGGAGACGGACTGATTAAAGGGCGATATTTATGATTTACGAATGCCGGACATATACTGTTTAAATCCGCCGGATGCAGACAGTATATCATAGACCCTAAATGCCACAGCAATAAGCCGAGACCGTATACAATACTAGCCGTAGTTTCTAGTCTTGTCCACCGATAGGGAAAGCTTGAGGATTTCGAAGCAGCTTGATCAGGTGACATCACAGCTTTTCCTTCCAGCAACAACTTGAATCTATCAATAAATCAATCCTCCTCACCAACAATTGTCTCATTTCCACCGCTACGGACATGGCCCTGTCTCTGCCACATAAAGCACACTCCACACTTTCCTCATCATATACGGGGAATCCACCAACGTCCAACGCTCCCCTGGGCACCGAAACCCCTCCCCCGCCGCCCCCGAAACCAAGCAGTCGTGAAGCCAGTCGTAAAGGCACACCCCACACCGGCTCCCCATCATCCCTTCCCTCCGCACTACCCAGCTCCGCATATCGAGAGTCTTCTACTACGCAAGGCCCAACCAGGCCTCCATGGCGATCCAGCAACAGCACGCCCGCATGATTCCTTGCCAGATGATGCATTATCCACAGACAACCCTTCCACAACCTCCAAAAGTAGAGGACGGTTGGCTTCCAGACAACCTGAAAGATAAATCGTGCGTTTGTCCACATAGCTCAAACCCCTCCAATACATGGCCACCCAAGTCATCTCACAAATCATTTAGCTAACCATTCCGCACACAGGACCCCGGACCTCCACTCCATTCTCCAAAACCCCACCCTCCTCCATGCCCTCGCAACCACCCACCCTTCCTACCCGGCTATGCAAACCCACCTCACCACACTTGTGTCTGCCAACAAACAACTAGCCAAACACCTTGTCTCCCTCGAAGTACACCTACATAACCTCCGCGCCTCCACCGAATCTCTCCTCCTCCACCACCAATCCCTCGAACTATCCTGGCGCAAGAAGCAGAGTGAGATGGACTCTGCCTTGGAGCCCTGGTCGCCCAAGGCGTTGTATCAGCGACTCGTGGCTGGCATTGCGGAGCAAGAAGCTGTATGTCGAGCAGTTGAGGAGAGCTTCTTAGAGAGTGAGCAGGGCAGTGAGGAGAAAGCTACCGAGAGGGAGGTTGTGGAGTGGGTCAAGAGGGTCAGAACCGAAGGGGTGAGGTTGGAGAGCAGGCGGGAAATGAGGGCTAGGTGGGATGAAGGGAGAGTGGGGGGTTGGAGATGAATTGAATATAATTGATGGGCTGCGTTGAATGTCCTTTCCACCGCTGGAGCGTTTTTTATTTTGCTTTTATTTTTTCCTCTTTCCAATGTATGGAGTTTGGGTATTTTCCGCTTGCTGGGAATTTTGCAGAAGGCCGAGTTGCCTCCGATATCTCGACCAACTGCGTGTTATATGCCAGACTGATATGATATTGTCGTCCGGCTTGCGGCTCGCGAGCAGGAGGAGAAACTGGTGTTGAATTACAACTCTAGAATCAGGAGAGCTATGTACAGTACATGCACGAACTACACTATTGAATACCTACGTATTCAGCATAGAACGGAGGAAATATGCAAAAAATGAAAAAAATTCTAAGTTATTCATATGCCACAGTTTCTAGTAAACCAACAAAAACATGCGAAGTATTTGAAACAAAGAGCGGATCGCCGAAATATATCACTCCCCAATCCATGGAAAACACCCTGACACCATCCACACGACACAGCCAACCAATCTATACAAGGTCATAATAAAGGAAACATAAAATCAACCCGTCCACATACTACTCTCAGACATTATTATCTCCGCTTTGCGCTATCCGACGCAAGTTACTCGGACTCAATGAAGAAGAAGTCTGGCCGTTTTCCAGTCCCTCATGCTTGACATACCCATTAACCCCAATTCCAGCAAAGAATGCTTTCTCAGGAGCACGCGCGCCCCAAGCCCAGCCGGCACCGCCAACACTCAGCGATGGGTGATACCAGCGGAACCCCAAGAAGGCGAAGAAAATACCAAGCAGGCTGCCGCCGAGGACGTCAAAGCCGGCATGGCGGTTGTCAGCCCAACGGCTTGAGGCTATGTAGGTTGCGGTGGCGATGGGTGCGGCGACGATGATAAGGAGGTAAATTGGTGGGGCGGCGGATTGCTTTCTGATCGGGATGAGGTTTGCGTCAGAGTGGGTGAGTTCGCCGTCATGTTCGCTTTTGATGGATGTGTGGTATTTGGGTGTGATTGCTAAGCGGGCCGGTTTGTTGAGTACTGAGTATCTTGTTGTAATAGTATCTTCGGGTGAGGTGGGGAATTGAGATGGAGAACTTTGCGCAAAAGCCAGAGAGACAGGTAAGGTTAGGCATGCGAAAAGACACTGCAGGATAGGAGGTATTAGTACTTGCTTAATTCTCTGTATGCCCACATTTAATTTCCGTCTCTTGCACCCCAAGGGTTCACTCACAGGAGGAGTGTCCACTAGGAAAGCTAACGAAGCCCTCTCTCGTGAGTTTTTCCGAGGTCTCCTGGCAGATTGTATACGAGACCAGAATCGGGGCACCGTCGATAACTTGTCCCTGACCTCCAACTACATGACTTGAAATATCAGAAAAATTTGGCATACAGCGACTAAGCAGATCCGGTCGTGGTTTTCCATATATGAGTTTAATCGCCTCTGTAGATACATACGACCCAGCACAAGCGATGCCCAGCCCCATCCATCCAACATTCAACTCCCATAATTTGCGTTGCCATACTCGCGCCTTGGGCGCATTTTTATCTGCTGTAAGCTCTTGGATGAAAAAAATGCACACCAGAAGAATGATAGCTGCGGGAACGACGAGGCTAACGAGAACCAAAACTGTAACTGTGACTGATTCATCAACGGTAAATGGAAAGGATATGCTTGGGTCAGAAAGCGAAAATGGGTGTCTATTCGGTTCTGCGAACTTAAGAATGCGGCCTGCGGCTGCGGTCGCCCTGCATTACAAGAGTTAGCAGAAGTTTGCCATAAGGGACATTTGTTTCCCGAAGATAACGCACAAGATTAATATCCAGTCGAGCACATATGAGAGGATTAACCGCTTAGAGAATCGCCAGTCATGGCGGGCGGCTGCGACTAGGTTCGCGATAGCCATTTAACTTGGATTGTAATGATTGCACTGCATACGGTAAGTATATTTGAAAGATATAAAATAAAATGGTAGATTTATTTGAGAGCGGACAAGCTATCGAAGCAGAATCCAGACGATTGAGGCGAATAGAATAAGGTGGAGACCCGAGAGCGCACGGAAACGATCGAGTGCACTGCAGATGGCTTCAGAGATAGTGACAAAGAAATTCCGTTTGCAACTACGGGCTAGCTCTCCTTACTCATTCTAACCCTCAAGCGCAGTAGAGAATGCATGTCCTTGAGGTTGGTTGCACAGCTCCGAGAAAGCACGCGATAGGTGGCAAGGAAGGAGGAGGCTTATATTGGGCCCTGCTCAAATGGCGCCAAGACCACGCTGCCGATGCCATGGATTTGTCACGCCATGTGAATCCAAACCCCCCAACAAATCGTCATACACCCCACGTACGGCTCACCCCACAGAGGGTGTAGACAAAAAGAGTGCTGCTCAGGCATTCAAGGAATGGTGGAGAAGTCAACCCTCAACAGATCTATATGTTTTCTCAGATGGATCAGAACAGAACCTTGACAACAGCAGGCAGGTGGGCTATGGCTTCATAGTCTATCAGGGAAATAAACAGCTGGCCAGCTTCTCAGCTGCGCTGAGCCCTATGTCACATGTCTTCGACGCTGAGGCAGTTGGTGCCTGCCGGGCATTAGAGTGCGCTGTGAAGCTCCTACCTTGTGTCACAGAGGACAGCAGCAACCCTCAGATCTGGCTCTGCCTCGACAACACCTCAGTCATCTGGGGCATACGGGGCAGTGCAGCAGCCTCCTCAAACTGGGCCTACAACCGCTGCCATGAGCTCCTCAGACAGCACAATGTCGGCCTGAAATGGGCTCCTGGGCATATGGGGATAGAGGGCAATGAGGAAGCAGACCGCTTGGCTAAGCGGGCAGTCTCATCCACTGCAGCCCCAGCCTATGGTCTCGAGGCCACACCCACAGTCAGTGGGGTCCGCACAGTGGCCAAGCAGCTCAGCCAAGAGGCAAGGCGAAAGTGGTGGAGTGGAGCCTGTGGCAGGCTCTCTGACTGGTACCGGGGCTGGAGTTTCAGCAGGCCGACTGTGGAATACCAAGTGAAGGCCCCTCCGGAGCTCACCATGCCACGGCATGCCCTTCACCGCTGGCTCGCACTCCGCTCCTCTCATGGGGACTTCTCCTGGTACCACAGGCGTTTCCAGCATGCAGATGCGAGGCTCACCTGTGTCTGTGGACACAACAAGAGCCCAGAACATTTGGTGCTCTGTCGACACTCACAGAGGCACTTTCTTCACTGGCCCAAGAGGCCAGCAGCACGGCCACACAACCGGGCGACAGCTGTTGCCTATCTAGGGTCTCTGACCCCTACAGACTTTGTAGAACTGCTGGACTGCACGCAGTTCTACACACGGTACTGCACAAGGTAACGCAGCCGGCTGGCTGCAAACCATCTGACAACCCCCGCAGCAGTTCCACGAGGCCGGCCTGCTGAGTACACCCACGGTAGCTAGTGCAACTGCCAGGGACATCACAGTCTATGCAGACAGTACAGATAGCACAACTAGGCTCATCTGTCTCAATTAGCTGTGGTGTAATCAGTACAGTCTACGTGTCTGACTCAGCTGATATGGTTTTGACTGCCGGCATTGTATCTACGCGTGCTCTGCTTTGTTTTCCTCTCGTTTGCCCTTGTCTCTATCGGCTCAAATGCTTCATCTTCCTTCTTTTCTTTGCTCTCTCTGTCATTCTCTGCTCTTTTCCTGTCACAACCTTCTTCAGTGCTCTCTCCTTCATTATTTATCTTGTCTGTCTTTCTTCTGATGTTAGAAGCACAGACAGCTTTCTGATCAACTGAGAGAGGTATCCCTCTCTGCTCACTATAAAGCCTTCCAGGCACGGCAGCGGCGGTCCCCTCAGGGAACCACACTATAGCCCCACCATGAATGGCCATACGTCGGGCCAGAAGTGGATGCGCAGCTCAGAAAAATCCTTTGCAATGAGCTGAGTCTTCTCAAGAGTTGCCACCTGGATTCTGTTTTCTCTCTCTGTGTACATAGAAATCTCTCCAGCGTAGCACGTCTCCATGCCCTTCGGGAGGCTTCTGAAACACGGGCGCTGCCCGTGTTTTCTCCGGGACGTTAAACCTATACATACATACATACATACCTCTTTCCATTATACTCTCGCTACCACTATTTCTATATGTATATATATATAAATGCATATATTTCGCACATCTTCTTTCTCTTTCTTTTCCTCTTCAGTGATTAGCTACAACTTCAACTACACTATTACTATAATTATGATTATTATTATCTTCTACTACACTATATACTATCTTCTACTATTCACTCTTCACACTGTCATCACCCCTCACACTTCTTCAGAGAATGCAGTTGAGTCGGTTTTAGTATAAATGTATAAAATCATATCAATCAATAAAGTTTGATTGATTTAAATGTGTAATCAGATTGAATGATTTGAATTGTAATGTGACCGCGCTGAGGCGTTTGCTACTCAGCAGTGGCATAGAGAAGAATGGTGCATAACGAGAAGCTTTATCAATCCATTTCACTATTGAACCAGAACTGCTAGAGCATAGTATACTAGAAGGGGACTAACTCTTCTGAAAGACTCTGCACATTAAGCATATTGTATGAGCCGATGATAATTCTGATAGCTTGTGACTAGGAGAATTAAGAAGTTACCAGGGCTGAGAAAGAAATTGCGAGAACTCCCACCACCGGTGCAATACTTTACTGCAAGAATTGGATGAAACCATCCCAGCCACCCGAAAATACACTCGAAGCGCATCCGAACCATGGTAGAGACGCAACTAGCGTGAATTGTAACCGCGAAAACGCCACAAGCATCCTCGGACCACCGGAACCTACCCTACAAGCGCCCAACACCTTAGTGGAAAGCGCCGTGACTACTGTCAGTGGGAGACGTAGTCGGGTACCACTTTGGCAATTAGAACTTCGAGATCCCGGCATGAGCGGTCACCCTCCTCGGAGAGATGTGGAAAAGTTCCGAGGCCAAAGCATGAAAGAATTTGAAAACTTTGTTACAGCTGCTATCGCTTTCCATGCCAGTGATCTTGATTATTACAACGAACACGACCATCGGAAGGTCATCGAAGCCGTCACTCATTTCAATGTCGAGATGCAACAACGTTGGTATCAACATACACATGATATGCGGATTTTGCCACCATGGGAAGAATTTGTTAGCTGGATGCAATGTCAAGTCACCGATCCAGATAAAAGTTTCCGAGATGCAGATAGACAGTACTGGAAAACAGAGCAACAAGAAGATCAGACAGTTCAACAATTTGCTTCACATTTACAATCAATTGAAGGGCGTCTGCGGCATCCTTATAGCGAATACCATCGGAAATCACACCTCTACATGAAAGTTCTACCTTCCATTCGCCGAGAATTTGACAAATATGCAACCAAACTAGAAGAGTTAAGCTATGATGCCACTCTTCACAAACTTGCAATGGCAGAATCAAATCTGCCAGAAAGACGGAAGAAACTTAAAGAGAAGTCAAACTTCAGAAACCCTACTCAAAGCTTTAACAACAGAAATAATGCTGGTAATAAGCCACAAAACAAACGCAGATGGAATGACACTACAAAGTCCGATGACTCCACCCGATCGAAATATTGCCGTTATTGCAAGCGACCAGGACATACCGTCGATTCATGCTTCAAACGACCCAAAGATGAATCCAAGAACACTAAATCCGACTCGAAACTCAATGCGAAAGATACGAAGAACACAAAGGACTCAAAAAACGCTTAAAGCGCGCCATTCAGCTCGCAATGGCAACTATAAGCGCGGAAAGTCGATGCAAAAATGCCTTAAGTTTCAATGTCACAGTGGAAATCACTACGCCTAAGAGTCTGCAAAAAGTGCTTGCACTAGTAGACTCTGGGTCAGAAGTGAACTGTGTCGATGAATTTTGGGCAAAAGACCACAATCTAGAAGCTGCTCACCGCAAAACCAAGATGGTCAAATCGATTGATGGATGCATAATGCGCTCCTTTGGAGAGTATAACATTGCAACCACTGTCACTGATCACAAGGGTAATGCACAGCAGACATCTCATTCCTTCCATGCGATGAAAATGAAGGACTACAATCTTGTGTTAGGATTTCCTTGGTTAAAACAAACAAATCCTCTTATAGATTGGTCAGATGGACAATTCTTCTTTAGAAGCTCTGGAGATGAACAACAGCCTCAAATTATTTCTGAACAAGATGTTTTAGCTGAAGTTCTCACCGGAGCCAGAGTAGGAATGCTTGTAGTATTACCTACAGAATGTTCAAAAGACCCAAAGCATGCTCCACGCGTATTCTCGGCTGCATATTCGGACTTGCCGACCGGCCTACCCGATTATGTTATGCCATACGCGCATATCTTCTCAGAAGAAGCTGCTATAAGCGCGCAAAGACCAGAAGAGGCGGAACACCGCATAGATCTCGAGCCTGGTGCGCGACCTCCATTCATGCCGATATACAACCTCTCTGAAACTGAGTTAGCTGCCCTAAGAGAATATTTAAAGAATGCATTAGACAAAGGGTGGATACAACCGTCCAGTAACCCGGCTGGTGCACCAATTCTCTTTGTCCCCAAGAAAGATGGTGGACTCCGTCTTTGTGTAGACTATCGAGGGTTAAATCGAATCACCATCAAGAACCGATACCCTCTACCTCTAATAAGTGAATTACTTGACAGGCTCTCAAAAGCCAAGGTATTCACTAAGCTGGACCTTCGAGATGCCTACCACCGCATACTTATAGCGGCAAAAGACCGTTGGAAGACAGCCTTTAGAACGAGATATGGATGTCAAATGGCAATGCGATAGTGCTGCTATTCTAGCAGCTGAAAATAGGGAGTAAGG